CGCTAGGGCGGCGGATCGGGGCCGCGAGGGCGGCGGATCGGGGCCGCGAGGGCGGCGGAGTAGGGGCCGCGAGGGCGGCGGAGTAGGGGCCGCGAGGGCGGCGGATCGGGGCCGCGAGGGCGGCGGATCGGGGCCGCGAGGGCGGCGGAGTAGGGGCCGCGAGGGCGGCGGATCGGGGCCGCGAAGGGCGGCGGATCGGGGCCGCGAGGGCGGCGGAGCGGGGCCGCGAGGGCGGCGGATCGGGGCCGCGAGGGCGGCGGATCGGGGCCGCGAGGGCGGCGGAGTAGGGGCCGCGAAGGGCGGCGGAGTAGGGGGGGGGGGGGGGGGGGGGGGGGCGCGAGGGCGGCGGATCGGGGCCGCGAAGGGAGGCGGCCGGCGCCGCGAGGGTGGGGCCGCGGGGTCGCTAGGGTAGGGCGACAGAGCCGCGAGGGCGGCTCGAAGGGGCCGCGAGGGCGGCGCGAAGGGGCCGCTAGGGCGGCGCGAGAGAGGGGAGCGCGACTCGGGCAGGGGCTGAGTGCGCTCCGGGCAGGAAAAAAAAAAACGGTGGGCCCTAGGAACAGTTCCCACGAGGGAACCTGCTCGATACCATGAGAAGAAACAAGGAATGAATGAACTATGAATGAATTGGGTACAAGTACTAACCCTAATTGGGTTGTACCCCTTATGGGTTACCCCACTATAGCCTACACAATATGCATGAGCTATAATATTCTGACATTGTAGTGCTTGGTGGAGCCGTCCTCGCATTATAAACACTGTCTTGTCGGTTATCGCGTATTCGTATGTTGAGAGCGTCGTCCCAATCCAACGGTTGTCAATTTCTGCATGGGGTTTTCATGCACAATCGGCTATCCCACAACATTAGCGCGTGCATGAGCAGTTGAGTAACAGCGGACCGCGCTCTTGGGCGTCGTGCCTTTGCACGAGTGCGACCACGTGTGTAGATGTGCGTGTGCCTTGTGTTATGTGTGTTGGTGTGTGTGTGCCTGTGTGTGTGTGTGTGTGTATGTGCGTGTGGGAGTATGTGTGTGTGTACGGGTGTGTGGGTGTGTGTGCATGTGGGTGCGTATGTGTGTGCATGTGAGTGTGTGTGTGTGTGTCTCTCTCTCTCTCTCTCTCTCTCTCTCTCTCTCTCTCTCTCTCTCTCTCTCTCTCTCTCTCTCTCTCTACCTTTATGGGCGTGACATGCCCTTGTGCTCCATGAACTGCCTCGAGACCGACCGTCGTGTGGTCTGGCCTTCGTGGTGGGTTTGAAAGACTTGCCCCGTGGACACTCGCACGTATCCACGCACGTGGGCGAGTTGCGGTTGCATGATTCCTACCTAGAGTTTTTTTTTTTTTTTTTTTTTTTTTTTGCATTGCACGGCTCGGCTTGCACCTAGTGGGGTGCGGTTCATGAGCCAAATGTTCTATGCAATGTGGAGCCCGAGAAAAAACAAGAGAGGGAGACAACGCTTTTTCTCTTGCTCTCTCGCCCTCTTCTCTCTCTCTCTTTCCCTTTCTCGCTCCCTCTCTCTCTCTTTGTTTTTAAGACGTGTGTGTTAACAACCACACAGTGCACAACCCTCCATGTTGTTTCTTGGGTCCTCCTGGACCTTGATGGGTCTCTTGATGCGTGATGCGGCTCGCGCGTCCTTTGATTTCGTATTAAGGTGTATGAACATTGGCTCGATTTTTTTTTTTTTTTTTTTTTTTTTCTTCTTCTTCTTCTTCTTTGCTTTGCACTGGTTGTTTGCTGGTTGCCCACATCATAGTGCAGCCCATCCTTGAGCCCAAGGTACCAAATTGGACTAAAAACAACAAACACTTCCGTAGGCAACTTATCATCCCATAATAATCATTTCTTGCAAAAGTACACAATGCACCAATAGCTAATGGCCCCTAGGGCTCCTCCTTGGGCCCCCTGGCCCTTAGTTCCTTAGGCTGCTCCTCAGCCTTGCACCCCCTGGTGCAGCCCCGTTATGTCCCTTGACATAAGGGGCAAGGGCTCCGCCCTTTGGTCCCTCACACCACGGGTGTGGGACCTTGGCCTCCACGCCCCCCCATGGGGCAGGCGTTCGCCATGTGGCCTGGCTGGCCGCAGCGAAAACAGGTGCCCTTGAAGGTCCTTTCCTGGCAAGAGCCTTGCCCGGAGCCTTTGTTGCCGAGTTCGCCGGCGTTGAGGCCACCCCCGCGGGTGGGACGGTTGTAGGTCATACGAGCGTGCTTCGACGCAGCCACGTCGGCCACGGCCAGCTTGTACGAACGGGAGGTCAGCACACTCTTGGACTGGTAGAGCTGGAAGCGATCGGCCGCCTCGAAGCCCACCTCGTCCGCCACCAAGAGCACCTCAAATCGCTTGTTAATGAGCGACTCGATTTGAGAAATGTTGGTGCGAGTGCCTTCCGCGTCGCCTTGCTGGAGCTTGAACTCAATGTGCCTGAGGTGGGCCTGGATAGCAGAGAAAACCTCTGCCTGGTCACGTACGCCCTTGCGGTTGAACGTGGAGTTTGTGGTTGCGGGGTTGAGGGGGGGAAGCGTAGAGCAAGAAGCATGAGTGAACATTGGGTTGTGACGGCGAGGGGAGGCCTCACCATCAGCGTCGTCTGACTCGTCGCTGTCATCTTCGACGGGAGCGGGGGCCGGGTCCTTCTCGATGCGGGCAGTCTTGGGAGGGCGCGGTGCGACGGCGGGAGCTTCTTCTTTCTTCTTATCATATTTTGCAGAAGTTGTAGCGTCCTCATTTTTTGAAGTCCCCGCCGTAACAGGCGCGTGCTGCTGTAACAGCGCCAGTAGTGCTTGGAGTTGCGCCGGGTTGAACGGGGGGTTGGGCTCGGTCGTGGCTGGCGTGTGGCTCGAGGGTGCTGGCGCGTGCTGCTTGACACGCGCGCCTGAGGGGCTCGAGGTGGTGGTCAAGACAGCCGCGTCAGCGGTTGTCTTTTTCGCCACTTCGCGCGGCTGCCTGGAAGCCGCGCGAGGGGCGGAAGGCTCCTCGGAAGGCGCCGGGGAGCCTCCGCCCAGCAGGACCTCGACGCCAGTGGCGAGGTCCTCGCGTGACTCCTCGGCAGCCCGTTTCGGGCGACGGGTGGTTGTCCCGGGCAGAATGTTGGCGTTCGCGGCAACGGGAGTGTCTGTCGCCTTGTTGCCCTCGCGATTAGCAGTGTTGTTCGCCGGCGCCATCGCTCCGATGTTGTACTTTAAAATATCCGCAAGTAGAGTCGTCGGGGCGGTGAAGCGAGGGAGGGACTGCGTCTTCGCCAGACTGGACGAGATTGAAAAACTCAAACTTCGAAATTGAAAAGAAGAACGTGGGTGAGGCCGAATGGCCTCAACCCCCTCTTTTGTAGCCAAAAGAGGGCGAGTAGCGATGCGACGCTGCCTTTGCTGCGTTGGCAATCGCTACACTTTCACAATACACAATTTTGAAAAGTGTTACACACTTTTAAAATTTTACATGTTTTTTTATAACCCCAGTGGCGCTTCTATCCGGGGGCTGACGGTAGAGCTTCTGGAGTAGATTTGATGTGAGGGGCAGGTTTTTTGTTAGTGTATGTTGTTGACTATCATTATTTCATGCATGTTAACTCCTTACAACAAAAGTTAGATACCTGAAGTGACAATCTCAAAGCAGCCAAGAATTCATTTGCATCCTTACTGAGAAATCGTTTGCCGTTTTAATTGTTTCTTTCACTTAGTGTCATAACTTGTCAGATGAGCCTACCTTACTCCCACCTTCCCCATCTCTCCCCCCCATGAGTGGCGATTCTTCCTCCCTTATCCCACTACCGCCCCCCCCAGACAATCTATTCTTCAAAACTCTGAACAAGGACCCAGAGGAGGGGCTAATGAGGTCCCTAGAGGGCGGGGTGATTGCAACCCCCAGTTTCTCCTGATCTTTGCCCCCACTCGCACTGCCCCCCATTTCTATACCAGCATTGGAGGAATGGGAGTGGTTGGAAGCTGAGGTGGGGGTGGTGTTGCTGTTAGGGTTCGTTGTGGCCAAAAGGTTGTTGCTGCTGCTGCTGCTGTTGCCGCTGGTTCCGATGGTGCTACTGCTGGTGGAAGCTGATTGGCTGGCTGCGGCAGCTCTTGTGACTGCGTACCAGCTCTTGTAATAGAGCGCACCAAACACCACCACCTAATGATGGGTGGTGGTGCGGTGAGGAGGGGTTGAAATGGCATATGGAAAGAGAGAGAGAGAGAGAGAGAGAGAGAGAGAGAGAGAGAGAGAGAGAGAGAGAGAGAGAGAGAGAGAGAGAGAGAGAGAGAGAGAGAGAGATAGATAGAGAGAGAGAGAGAGAGAGAGAGAGAGAGAGAGAGAGAGAGAGAGAGAGAGTCAGACAAGAGGCAAAGGGAGACAGGTGGGACGGATTGTAGGAAGGGGGTCAAGCTCGGTTGTTGGCTTGGTTAGGGCCATGGTCAGGGACAATGTCGTTGGTTGGTAAACGTGGAGGAGGGAAAGGGGGGAGGGAGGAACGGGGGATCAGAGGGGACAAGGGAGAAGGATCATAGGGAATTGGTAAAGATTGATGGCACATGCTGCGAGCTTGGTATGGTCACGTAAATCGCATTGGTTGGCAGGGATGGTGTTACACGGGGAGAGCACTGAGGTGGTTTTGCTCTTAGCAAGGAGAAAGCAGAGGTGGCTGTTGAGATGAAAGGTTCAAACGACGAAAGACAGTGGTGATGGGTTGAGTCTTGGCACGAGGGTTGAGCACTTACTGTGCCAACTTGTTGTGTGGAGGAGAGGGGCGGCCCATATATGGTAGATGATAGTACGATACTGAGAAGCTGGCAGCAGGGATGGATGGACAGAAAGGGAGCATGGAATGAGAGATGAGTGTGGGATGACACAATCCGGGAAAAGGGGGGTATGGGTCGAGTCGAAGGGACGAGAGAGCCGGCAATGATTTGAGACGATGGAGGGGTGGAATGCACACAGGAGGACGGGTTCAAGCTGGTTCACCTTTCATTCACATTCTGTATTCCACCCTCGGGAATGTTTTGTACCAAAGGGAACACTACTTCTCCTTGGACAAATGCCTTGGAAACGGGGGCATGGGTTGAGAAGATACGAACAGGAGGTACTGTGGGGCATGCAGCAAGCGCACACACACATGCAAAGGTGAGAGCACCGAAGGTCTTGATGGTGTAGGGAATAAAGCACGCACACGCACACAACACGCACACTACACACACACAGAGCACACGCACAAGAAGCATGCAGAGAGCACACACCTGGCGTGTGGTCATGATGGTGGCAAAGGTGAGAGCACCGAAGGTCTTGATGGTGCATGCATGCACAAACACATGGGTACAACATGCCCTAAACAGCAAGCACGCTCTCATGGGCACAACACATGCACAGCCCCGATGTCATGAGGCCGCACAGGGTTTAGGGTGCCGCACAGCACACCGCACAGCACAGCACACAGCACACAGCACACCGCACACACCTGGCGCGTGGTTATGATGGTGGCAAAGGTGAGAGCACCAAACGCCTTGACGGTGCACGCATCGCACACAACACAACACAGCACACCGCACACAGCACTCACCTGGCGCGTGGTCATGATGGTGGCAAAGGTGAGAGCACCGAAGGTCTTGATGGTGTAGGAGATGAAGAACTGGCTTATGGTGGCCGCCTGGTGGGGTAGGGGGGAGGTTGAGTGGAAGTGTGGGAAGGGGGAAGAGGGAGAGGAAGCAAGGGTGAAACGGCTGCTGTGTTGATGGAGTGTGTGGGATGGGAGGGAGGAAGGGGGTGCAGGCAGCTGGGAAGTTGATGGAGTGTGTGGGAGATGAAGATATGGCTGATGGTGGCCGCCTGGTGGGGGAAGATGGGAGGGGGAAGGGAGGAACGGGTGTTGTGTTGATGGAGTGCGAAGAGAATCGAGATGACGAAGTAGCTGACGGTGGTCGCCTGGTGGGGGCAGGCGGGAAAGGGGGCAGGCGGGAAAGGGGGCAGGCAGGAAAGGGGGCAAGCGGGAAAGGGGGCAAGCGGGAAAGGGGGCAGGCGGGAAAGGGGGCAAGCGGGAAAGAGGGCAAGCGGGAAAGGGGGCAAGCGGGAAAGGGGGCAAGCGGGAAAGGGGGCAGCAGCTGACATGCTGATGGAGTGCGTAGGAGATGGAGTGCATAGGAGATGGAGTGCGTAGGAGATGGAGTGCGTAGGAGATGGAGTGCGTAGGAGATGGAGTGCGTAGGAGATGGAGTGCGTAGGAGATGGAGTGCGTAGGAGATGGAGTGCGTAGGAGATGGAGCGCGTAGGAGATGGAGTGCATAGGAGATGGAGTGCGTAGGAGATGGAGTGCGTAGGAGATGGAGTGCGTAGGAGATGGAGTGCGTTGGAGATGGAGTGAGTAGGAGATGGAGTGCGTAGGAGATGGAGTGCGTAGGAGATGGAGTGCATAGGAGATGGAGTGCATAGGAGATGGAGTGCTTAGGAGATGGAGTGTGTAGGAGATGGAGTGCGTAGGAGATGGAGTGCGTAGGAGATGGAGTGCGTAGGAGATGGAGTGCGTAGGAGATGGAGTGCGTAGGAGATGGAGTGCGTAGGAGATGGAGTGCATAGGAGATGGAGTGCGTAGGAGATGGAGTGCGTAGGAGATGGAGTGCGTAGGAGATGGAGTGCGTTGGAGATGGAGTGAGTAGGAGATGGAGTGCGTAGGAGATGGAGTGCGTAGGAGATGGAGTGCATAGGAGATGGAGTGCATAGGAGATGGAGTGCTTAGGAGATGGAGTGTGTAGGAGATGGAGTGCGTAGGAGATGGAGTGCGTAGGAGATGGAGTGCGTAGGAGATGGAGTGCGTAGGAGATGGAGTGCGTAGGAGATGGAGTGCGTAGGAGATGGAGTGGCTTATGTTATGGTCGATGCCTGGCGGCGTAGTGGGCAAGGTGACTTTTGAGTCGACTCAAAAGTCACCTTGGAGTGCGTAGGAGGTGGAGTGGCTTATGTTACGTTATGTTATGGTCGATGCCTGGCGGGATAGCGGGCAAGTTGAGCCGCGGAGTGGGTGAAAAGGAAGGAAGAGCTGCTGTGTTGGAGAAGAGCATAGGAAGAGACCACATGGCGGAGAAATGCCCTTCTAACTAAGGGCGCCACTTAAGGGGCGTCACGCATCCCTGACAGGAAACTACCGAGCCCAGGCGTAACAGGGATCTCATAAAACCGAATCGAGACGGAAGACAGGTCCTGGATTACGAATAAGAGGTGTACCACTGATTGCATACCACTGATTGCATACCACTGATTGCGTACCACAGTATCCCTGATCCTAGAGAACCAACGCGAGGCGTACCACTGATTGCGTACCACCGTATCCCTGATCCTAGAGAACCAACGCGAGGCGTACCACTGAGAGCACGGCGATGTGGGCAGCACAGTCGGGATGGCGCACGATGAATGCAATGGCCGCTGATAGGTCCTGACGCAGGCCTGGTGGGGGGACGGGTAGAAGCAGAGCGGTGAGCAGGGGGGTGAGGCACATGACAATACCACATGAAGGCAGGCAGCAGAGCATCACGGTGACATATGATAGCACAATGAATGCAATGGCCGCTGCTAGGTCCTGGTGCAGGTCTGGTGGGGGACATGCGGGGGGGCAGGCGGGGGGGGCACGGCGTATGGCAATGCAACATGATGACATGAAGGCATGACGGTCAGGTCAGTGCTGCAGAATACGGCGACACATGCCGTGACAGAACAGTGAATGCTGCATCTGGGTCTAGTTTTGAGACGTCTCAAAACAGAACAGTGAATGCTGCATCGGGGTCAAAACGCTGCGGCAAACCCAGCAGGTTGGTGGCAGAGGAGCAGCGCGCGATCTAGATTCTAGAGTGGAGTGAAGCACCTAAAAGATCGATTGACTGCACAGGGGATGCTGCTGCCATGGCGTCTTTGCCTAGAAGTGTGGCTCTTGGATTGAAGTCTCACCCAGCAGGTTGGTGGCAGAGGAGCAGCGCGTGATGCAGAGCGAGGCACGTGTTTGGCTGGTACCGCATCGCTTCACGTCTTACCTCCTGGCGCTCCTACCACTCGGCACCTTACCCAAGGCATGTGGTGCGGCAGCAGTGGCTCACCCAGTAGGTTGATGATGGAGCAGCAGCTTGTGATGTAGGGCAAAGCACCTGGTTGGCTGATAGCACATGGGTTGCTGCAATCACAGTCTATTATCTACGCTGTGTTTAACACACTCACCCAGCAGGCTGATGAGGGAGGAGCAGAACATGATGTAGAGCACCTGGTTGGTCGGTACCACATGGGTCACGGCATAGTGTCTTAAGTCACTACGTCCCTACCGCACTGTGGCTTACCTAAGGCACGTGGTGTGGAGAGTTTGCCTCACCAAGCAGGCTGATGACGGAGGAGCAGAGCGTGATGTAGAGCACCTGGTTGGCAGCGGGCATGTCATAGCCCTCAAACAGCTTGTCCTGAAACGTGTTGGTGAAGCCGTCAAAGCTGGGGAGGCGAGGGGGGGAGGGATGAGGATGAGGGGACAGGCGGAGAGGGACGAGGAGAGACGGAGAGGGGTTGGCATGTCATAGCACTCAAACAGCTTGTCCTGAAACGTGTTGGTGAAGCCATCGAAGCTGAGAGAGATGGGATGAGCATGAGATGATGACGGGCGGACAGGCGGAAAGGGAACAATGAGAGGGACACGGAGATAGGGAGAGGGACTGGCATGTCATAGCCCTCAAACAGCTTGTCTTGAAACGTGTTGGTGAAGCCGTCAAAGCTGGGAACGGGGGGGTCGGAGGGATGAGGATGAGGGGACAGGTGGAGAGGGACGAGCATAGAGAGACGAGGAGAGAGAGAAGGGGAGGGAGAGGGACTGGCATGTCAAAGCCCTCAAACAGCTTGTCCTGTAACGTGTTGGTGAACCCGTCAAAGCTGGGAAGGGGAGGGAGGAGGGAAGGGATGAGGATGAGGGCTATGGTGGATTATAAGCTCTAGACCCTTTGCGTTTAGCGTATCTACGCTAGCGTGTACACGCAATACGCTAAACGCTAGCGAATACGCGATACGCAGCCATAAAAAATTTCGGGCAGCCCGGGAAAGTAAAATTGCAGAAAAGATTGCGGATTTTCTTGGTGAGCATTTCGCCGAAGTCGAAATGCAAATCCGCAGTCTATGCAAGGTGGGATCTGACTTCGAAGTTTTCAGGCACATCTGGCTATTCAAATGTCAAATTTCAGGTCCCATCTAGGCATTTGAACCCATCCCCTCTACCGCATTGAAAACCATCTTATCTACTTACCAGCCAACCCAACTCCTAACCCGTCATTTCCTACCTTGCATTCCCGCTTGCAGCAGTGTCCCCGCGCACTCCAACTTGAACAGCCTCTCCAACACTACTCCCTCTAGCTATGATGTCTACTCACCGCCCCACCCCACCCGCCGATCGGACTCAGGAAAATGCTAGGGCACGTCTCAGTAAGATGAGATAGGGGGTAATTTTTTTCCACCCTGCCCGAAAACGCGTACGCCTGATCCGACCCTCAAGCGTATGGCGTATACACGCTAGCGTATATACGATACGCATATATACGCTAAACGCGTATAATCCATCATAGGATGAGGGGGCAGGCGGAGAGGGACAAGGAGGGAGGGAGGGGGGGTGGCATGTCATAGCCCCCTGAAACAGCAAGGCATGCAGAGATGGATGGGAGGACACGAGGGCGGCGGGCAGGAGAAGGCGGGGGAAATGAGGCAACGGTACTCCTGGCGAAGGGAGAGGCATGCCACATATGCTCTGCTTTACCATATCCCTCACACTGCGGACACCCAGACCACCCCCCCCTTACCCCAGGTATCCGAGCATGAGCAGGAGGCCGGAGAACGTGCTCTTGACACTCGTGCGTGCAGTCTTGACACCTTGACCCGGGGCATTGTGCACACCAGGGATGGGGACGAGTCATGAGCATGCAGAGGGCGCCGAATGGGAGACGAGAGTGGGAGGGGGAAAGAGAGGAGGGGGACGAGAGGGGGGGAAGGAGAGGAGGTGGATGCAGCAGGCGGGGTCACACGCTGAGGAGGGTTGCATGCACATTTTTTTGACTGCCGAACAAGTGAGCCCTGAGATCAAGCAATGCCTATTCAAGATTTACTTGATCTGGTTTTGAAAAAGGGAAAAGCAGAAAGTGAAAAACAACGTGACCAAGGTTCAAAATTACGGTTTTCGTAAAATACGGTCCGTTTTTTACGGTCGTTTTTTACGGTATTTTTTCAAAACAACGGCCGTTTTTTTGTTAGGAAACTCTGTTCACCAAGAAAAAAAAGAGAAAAACAAGGTCAAAAACATTTTCAATCATGCCAACAAGCGCATACATGCAAGAAGGGGTCCATCCCCTTCATGCTGCTGCATTTCGGGTTCAATTTGGTCCCACTAAGTGGCCGTTTTGTTCGTTATAGAGGAAACACCTCCTGGAACCGTTTTAAACCGTTTTTTACGACCGTTTTTTACGGTACCGTTTTTTACGGTAAAATTTCAATAAAACGGTCGTTTTTTTTAACCCTGAACGTGACAACATGAACGCACACGGATCCAGAAACTAATGAAAAAAAACAACGCAATAGCTAACGGGACTGTCCACCCTAAACCTTAAACCCTGGAAAGAGAAGAGGGCAAGATGGACGGAGAAAAGGGAGAGAGAGGAGACACACCACGTTGAGGAAGAAGAGGCAGGAGCCGAGGATGATGGTGATGGCGATGATGTACTCCCTGGGCTTGTACTGCTTGCGCGATATCAACGTGCCCCAGATCTGTGAAAGCATGGTTGTACAAGCGTTGTAGCATGGCACAGGAGAGAGAGGTTTAGGATGATGGTGATGGCGATGATGTACTCCCTGGGCTTGTACTGCTTGCGCGATATCAACGTGCCCCAGATCTGTGAAAGCATGGTTGTAGAAGCATTGTAGCATGGCACAGGAGAGAGGTTTAGGATGATGGTGATGGCGATGATGTACTCCCTGGGCATGTACTGCTTGCGCGATATCAACGTGCCCCAGATCTGTGAAAGCATGGTTGTAGAAGCGTTGTAGCATGGCACAGGAGAGAGAGGTTTAGGATGATGGTGATGGCGATGATGTACTCCCTGGGCTTGTACTGCTTGCGCGATATCAACGTGCCCCAGATCTGTGAAAGAATGGTTGTAGAAGCATTGTAGCATGGCACAGGAGAGAGAGGTTTAGGATGATGGTGATGGCGATGATGTACTCCCTGGGCTTGTACTGCTTGCGCGATATCAACGTGCCCCAGATCTGTGAAAGCATGGTTGCAGCAGCATGGTTGCAACTGCATGGTTGTAGCAGCATGGTTGCAGCAGCATGGTTGCAGCAGCATGGTTGTAGCAGCATGGTTGTAGCAGCATGGTTGCAGCAGCATGGTTGCAGCAGCATGGTTGCAGCAGCATGGTACACGAGAGTAATGTTTAGTGCGGTGTGGCATGGTGTGACGTGGTGGCATGGTGTGGTGGCGGTGTGGCATGAGGTGGTGCTGGAGACATGGCTCGGTCAATTCACATGGCACGTGGCTGGGTCACATCACAGGGCTTACCAGCACAGGCACCATGCGGGATGACTTGGCTATGGTCTGCAGAGGGAAGCTCACGTACTTGAGGGCCTTTTGTGGGGTTGGGAGGAACAGGGTGGGGTTGGGATGATTGGGGTGGGGTTGGGAGGATTAACGTGGGGTTAAGATGGGTTTAGGGTGAGTAGCCAAGAAGGGCGCGTGGGTGGGAGGGAAGACAAGGACAATGTTGGCGAAACTCTAAATCAAAGGGGAAGGGGAAAAAGGTGAATGAAGTTTTTATTGCATGCGCAACACAACAACCACATTCAACTTTTGAGTCGACTCAAATTTCAGCGATCAATGCAGCAACCAATGCAGCAGCCAATGCAGCAACCAATGCAGCAACCAATGCAGCAACCAATGCAGCAGCCAATGCAGCAACCAATGCAGCAACCAATGCAGCAGCCAATGCAGCAACCAATGCAGCAACCAATGCAGCAGCCAATGCAGCAACCAATGCAGCAACCAATGCAGCAGCCAATGCAGCAACCAATGCAGCAACCAATGCAGCAACCAATGCAGCAGCCAATGCAGCAACCAATGCAGCAACCAATGCAGCAACCAATGCAGCAGCGTACCTCGTATTGGCACCCGGAGGAAGTGGCATTGGAGAGCGTCTCGGCACCATTTGAGGCGCCTCAAAAGCCAAAACAGCGATCATTGCAGTGCAGTGAGTGTGCGTGCTGCGTTGCGTACCTCATGTTGGAGGAGATGACATTGGAGAGGGACACAGCGCCAGCCAGCCATTTGAGGCGCCTCAAAAGCCAATACAGCAATCATTGCAGCGTGCTGCGTGCGTGCTGCGTACCTCGTATTGGCATCCGGAGGAGATAACATTGGAGAGTGACACAGCGCCATAGGCGTAAATTGGAGCCACTAGAGCCAACGACGCTCCTGTCACCTGCATGTGTATGGTTGGGGATGGAACACGATGTGAGGTTTGTGCAGTGTGTGCGATGTACTATGGATTTACTGAACGGGACAGTGCAGTGGATTATTATGATGGATGTAGCACACGGTACACTCATGAGCTCAATAATGTACGCTGTACAGTATCTAGTTCGTCCTGTACGTTGGTAGGTGGGTTCATCATAGCACTGAGCTGAGCACTGACATGAGTCGGCTGCATTGCAGAGCATGATGGAAAATGAGATGCTAGAGTAGAGCCGAATGGAAGGGCATCAGCTCACTAGGTGCGGTGCACTATGACTGCCACAGCGCACGTCATGAGGCGGTTACAGAGCAGAGCATGATGAAGAGTAAGAGTAAGATGCTAGAGTAGAGTCGACTCAAAAGCCTCTGACTCACTCACCAGGTGCACTATGACTGCCACAGCGCACGTCATGAGGCGGTTACAGAGCACGATGAAGAGTGAGTGCTGGAAGTACTCCGAGTCCTCATCCCTGTCACCGTACGGGAACTTCATTATCCGCTCCTGCGTTACAAGCACACAGCAGATTCAAACCACCAATCTAAGCAACACAATCAAGCTGACACAGAAGGAATTCAGAATTACTACGGGAGTCAGAGTTGGAAATGGTGGACACACACAGCGGTGGAAACGGTGGAAAATGGTGGAAAGGGTGGATACACACAGCACAGCGCAACACAAATGACGCGCCAAGGCTGATCGGAGAAGATTCGTCGTAAGGAGTCAAAACTCGGAGGTACGCAAAAGCCGGCCCTTGACACAGCGACACGTCCTTGCTAGGTCGCCTAAGCGAACTTTGAAGCACGTATGGGCCTTCAGTGCCGCAGCAGCGCAGCTGACCAATACCGTAGAAGATGAGCGTGCCAACGACGCAATGACTAGGTCGCATTGCCTGCCCTATCAGCTTCGCTAGGTCACCTAAAAGCCACGTAGGGCCATTTTTGTCGCAGCGACGCACCTGGCCAATGCCATAGACGATGAGCGTGCCCACCACGCCAATGACTGGGTCGCATTCCCTTATCACCTTCGAGGTCGCTTTACCCGTTATTGTCGCAGCGACGCACCTGGCCAATGCCGTATATGATGAGCGTGCCCACCACGCCGATGAAGCACCATATCAGCTTCGCCAGGTCGCCTTTCGCCGCAGCTTTCCTCCTGTTCAACGAACTCGACCTACAATCAACGAGATTCGCGAAAGAGAAGGGTCGTTCTCGTCGTTTTCTTCTTAGGCAAAAACCATTGAAGCGACAGCGAACACTCGAATTGACGCTTCTAGACCAACTGGGAAGCTTAAAAGGTTGAAAATCGGCAAACAGCAGGCGACGGAGCAAGAATCGTGGGGACATGGCCACGCGGAGTGGCGTGCGGTCATATGACGGAAGATCGAGATGACGAATAAAATGACGTGCTGAAGTATACGAGCAACAGGGTATCCATTAAAGACCATGTTCACCTGCCATAGTCGAGCGTCCTAGAATGCGGTGCTGTCTCCTGCGTCGAAGATGCCATGACGCTACAGGCCCAAGCAGGACCCGACCGCAGCCAATGGTATGTGATGTGACATCAGCAATACGATATTATGGTTGAAACTGAACGAGCTATCCCTCAAACGGCAAGTCGACTTAAAGGTGCTAATCGCGAATTCGCCGTGAACAGTCTTCGACTTACTAGTTCATAAGACGAATCCTGCTGGTTCCTAAGACTTATCGGTTGCTGACGACAGTTAGGTAGCTGGGTAGATCGAGAGAACTACACTGTAATCATGGGCAGAACGGAATGCATTCGCAGCCATAATTCCTGCTTCGAATTGCTCGCTCCATTTCGCCCAGTCTGGTTACCTTGTGATGAGGGTGGAGGGATGCATGGGGGAAGTAGGAAAGGGAGGCAGGGAAGGTATTGTGTGCGCCAAGGTTGACTAGGGGAGGTGGTTCTGGGGAGGAGGTGCTAAATTGGGAGAATAAATGCATTACGGTGTATCCCTAATGCATTATTTAAAGTCTCAAGGGTTATGAGTTGTGAAAGAAAAAAACAGGTATGTATATCAGAAAATCAGACCATTTTGGTCTGAAAAGCAGGCCCTGCTTAGTACTCTGAATCAATCAAGGATAAAAAATGTAATCTGAAAACAGTGGCTCATAGCAATTTAGTCCGATAGAGTGCGTCTTTAATTGGATTTTGTAGGCGCGTGTGGTTAAAAGACTTAAATTATTGCATAGCTCAATTCATGTCTGATTTTAAGTGGACGCAAATCAGAATAGTGGGTGCAATGTAATAGAGAATAACGGATGCCCAACTATCTCATTGACATGCGCCAAACAAAGGATGTGCCTATACCTAAGGAATCATGGTACTCTAATAAAATCAGCCATGCTTCCAAAATGAAAGCCTTTCCAAAGCAATTTCTCCACTCCCTACTCCAACCCCACCTGTTGTGCTAAAGCAACTAGACACAGCTGTCATAATAACTGTGCAAGAATTATTGACTAGCGAGCAAGGATGAGTACAAGTACTAGGTTTGACCTAAAGTGTTGTACTCAGTAGAGGCTACCCCACTACAGCCTACACATACAAATGTAATTTGGCACACCCCCATAGGCAAAGTGGGGGATAGCAAACACAACGAACGGTCACAAGACCAGTCAAGCAAGAGAACAAAGCAAAGCAAAGCTTAGGGTGGATCTCAAGGACACCACACAATCTGAGCACAACCAAGCGGCCACAAGGCCAGTTCACATGCAGAGTTATAATAGCAAGGCAGTACACTGATCACAACCTAGCAAGAGTAAACAAGCAGGTATAAAGATATATATTAGTGTACAACAAGAGCAAGTCAAGCAACCAGCAGGTGAGGCAGAGTGGGCACAAGCCCAAGAGCAGTGCAGAAACGCTGATGATCACCAGACCCAAGGGCCTTGGTGAACACATCAGCAGTGTTGGCCCGCGAGGCCACGTAGGAAAGGTGGAGCTGACGACGCTACTGCAGCTCACGCGCAAGGAAGTAGCGAAGAGCAATGTGCTTCGTTCTGTGCTCCAATCTCTGCTCATGACACAAGGCAAGCATTGCCTTGTTGTCGACGTACAGAACTGGAGGAGAACGAGGCCGCTCCCCCAAGTCGGTCAGCAGGTAGGTCAGCCATTGAGACCGGTACCGGTGCAGCAAGTGGTGTGAGTGTGGTGCAGTCACGAAAGAAGCAACGTGACGCGCCTGAGTCAAGTCTGAAAGTGTGCAAGGCCTCAGCCGAGGAAGGACCTGGCGGGAGATGCACGAGCACCTAAAGCTGTAGCAGACTCACTAGCACTTAGTGCTGCAGCAGACTCACTAGAACCTAGTGCAGCAGCCTCGACAGAACCAGTGACACATCGCAGAGGAAACAACTCACTAAGCACATGAGGGGAGAAGGTCTCCTGCTGACTCTACTGCCGCCTCTGTGCAGTACGTAGAAAACCAAAACCTCCACCACCTGGACAGGCTCGCTGAAGAACCCACTCGCGAAGCTGCTAAGGGGTGGGGTCGTCTGGGAGAGGCAGTGACCGCCGCTGTCCACCCCTAGCCGCTGCAACTGCCATGATAGTGGCCATGACAGGCAGTGACGGTCAGTAGTAGGTCCAGCACCTCCGGCACCAGCAGCACCTCAAGCACTCCCAGTCGCACCTCCGGCACCAGCAGCACCTCCAGCACTCCCAGTCGCACCTCCGGCACCCCCAGCACTAGCAGCACTCCCAGCACTCCCAACAGCACCTCAACTAGCAGCAGCAGCAGTAGTGGCAGCAGGGCGGCTCGGTGGGGCTGGTGATCAAGGTAGGGCGGCGCGGCTCGGGTTGGGCAGGGCGGCTCGGGCTGGGCGGCGCGGCTCGGCCGGGCAGGGCGCGCCGCGGGCTGCAGGGCAGGGTGTGCGGTGGACAGGGCAGCAGGGCGCGCGTTGTGCAGGGCAGCAGGGCGCGACGCGCTGGCTGCAGTAGGGCGCGATGCGCTGGCTGCAGCAGGGCGCGACGCGCAGGGCAGTAGGGTGCAACGTGCAGGCTGCAGTAGGGCGTGAGGCGCGGAGCAGCAGAGCGCGACGCGCGGGCTGCAGCAGGGCGCGACGTGCAGGGGGGCAGGCAGTGAGAGTAGCTGCAGGGCAGCGTGACACTGTGCGAGCAGGGCCGGACAGCGCAAGGGCGCTTTGGGCAAGAACGAGCGAAACTATCGGTGGGCTCTAAAACTTAACAGTTTCCTGCTCTGATACCATGTCAGAATAACTGTGCAGTAATGATTGACTAGCAAGCAAGGATGAGTACAAGTACTAGGTTTGACCTAAAGTGTTGTACTCAGTAGAGGCTACCCCACTACAGCCTACACATACAAATGTAATTTGACAACAGGAGCCACAGTACTGCTTGCACTAGTCTCTGCACCTACATGATGAATCTCGTGGATCTCATGAAGCTGTTACTTGTTTCGGAAATGAATGAGTTAGAAGGGGAGAGAGGGGAGTGGAAGGAGGGGGGAAAAAAAATGGAAAGGGAAGGGAAAAAGTGAAAGGCAATTGGTGCACACAAAGTAAGCAGCAGAAGGAGGAAAGAAGCTGGGGCAAGTGTAAACCGGATATATCGGCATTGTTGTTGTAACTAACTCATTTAGGCCACTCACGAAGCATACGATGCGTAAGGAAAAGTTGATAGACGGTCCCGATACAGAGTTCCTTTGTACAGTTGTCACCGCTCTAGTACTAGTAGCGCCTGAACCGAGGTGTGCCGTCGTCCATGTTGTACACCCAGGCTTGTTCTGTATGCTTGCCAATGATCTCCTTGGGAATCGGTGTGCATGCATCAAGGTTGGCGCGCACAGTGTAACGAAATTCATTGTTCTCGAACGTCATACTAGCTGCTCCCACCGTAGAATTGCCCCCTGGAGATTGAGTGGCGTAAGTGGCAAGAGGGGCAGCAAGTGGGGCACAATTGGAGTGGGCTGTGAATGCGCTGCACCTGGATGCCAGGTCTTTGGCGGGAATGTAAAGCAGTGAACTGCGGATGCTGTCTTGCTGCAGCCACCATAGCACAGAAGGAAGTACAATCAAGCTGCCCCATGCAGGCCTGGTTGTGAGACGCATGTTTGGGTCATCCAATAATGTGAGACGTAAGGTCATAATACATGCAGTAATTCACACGCAGTAAGGCACACGCACTAAGGCACACGCAATAAGGCACATGCAGTAAGGCACACGCAGTAAGGCACATGCAGTAAGGCACACACAGTAAGGCACACGCAGTAAGGCACATGCAGGAAGGCACACGAAGTAAGGCACATGCACTAAGGCACACACAGCAAGGCACATGCAGTAAGGCACACGCAATAAGGCACATGCAGTAAGGCACATGCAGTAAGGCACACACAGTAAGGCACATGCAGTAAGGCACACGCAGTAAGGCACATGCAGTAAGGTACACGCAGTAAGGCACATGTAGTAAGGCACACGCAGTAAGGCACATGCAGTAAGGCACACGCAGTAAGGCACATGCAGTAAAGCACACGCAGTAAGGCACACGCAGTCAGGCACACGCAGTAAGGCACATGCAGTAAGGCACACGCAGTAAGGCACACGTAGTCAGCACGTTGTCGAGCGCCTTGTACCACAACAGCGGCAACTGCTTCAGCCCATACAAGCTCTTCAACAGCTTGCACACCCGTTGTAGTAGTTTGGTTGGTACATATACAAAAACCAGTCGAGCTTGCTCTGCAAGAAGGCATTCTTCATGTCGAGCTGCACCAGGTTGAGGCTGAGGACGGCGACGATGCTGAGGAAAATCCCCAGTGTGACGTAACTGCTGACTGGTGAGTACGTCTCACCGTAGTCGGCACCGTACACCTCCACGAATCCTTTCACGAACAGCCTCGCCTTCTTGCGTTCGACCGTGTCGTCCATGTGGTACTTGGTCATCAACACCTACCGGTTCTTCATGATGTTCACCCCGCGCGGGCGTTTGACCAACTCCCACGTGCTGTTGGTGATGAGGCTACGTATCTCCTCGTCCATGGCGGCCTTCACCGCCTTGCCCTTCCAGCTCGCCAACGCCTCCTTCACCGTCATCTTTACGATGTCCTAGCAGTGCTCGAGGTCGGCATGCACGTCAGGGTCCGGTTCGGGCAGGTCGACATCGCCATCCGTATCGTCGAGCAGCATAGTGAAGGCAGCTGGTGGCAGGCAAGCGTGGAAGCTCAGCCGCTCCGGCGGCTTCCTAGTTCGACCTGAGCATCGCAGCTCCGGCTTCTCGACCGGAACCTCCACCACGTCGCTGTCGGTAGACTCCTCTCCTGTCGACAGCTCTCCTTCATCGTCGACACAGTCATCGTGGATGAGCTGCTCTGCCAGCGTCTGCCCTTCGACCAGCCTCTCCCCTCTCGTCGGCCCGCTTGCCGACTTCTCTTTCGTCGACAACTCCTCTGTTGACCACCCCGTCTGCTACTCCCCTATCGGCGGCACTTTTGCTGCTGCCTCCTTCTCCAACAGACCCCCTGTCTGTTGCGCCCC